GGATCCCCACGAGGGAGGATTGTTTTGTGTGCCGTCCGAGGATACTCTCTTAACGATCTCTCCTCCATTACGCCGCCACGTGGGGCCAATTGGAGCGAGCAGGCGAGGAATTACCTCAAACGAACTCGTTTACTCGAATCTTGGTACAATATTGAAGAGACTTGTTGCTCCTCCGACTCTGGATGTAAGCGTATTACGTCTTCGTATAGCAGGAGCCTCCAACCTTCAAATAAATTGGACAAGATTTATAGGTTCCCAATTATTTTAAATTGGCACTAAAATAATGAAAAACAAGATCGTGAAGGTCACAATCAACTTAGAAAGTTCATTTGAAAAATAAAATTACGGCTTCAATGCTTGAAAAAATATAAATTCCTGCCAAAATAGGACTTTGTCTAAGATCTTAAAGCAAAAAAAATTACAAATCATCAGTCAAGTGCCCATTACCAAATATGTTTGTGTTTTTGTGTTGGATATTGTTAATAATAAAAAGTAAGAATAGTTTTAAAATTTAATTTATAAACAAAAGTGCTGTATTATATCTTATATGATATAAGCAATTAAATTATATTTTGAACTGGGTGAAACTCCTAGATGAACACTAAATGAAACTCCTAAATGAACACACCTCCCTGATGAAGACTTGCAAAGTCGGGTCGAAACGTCGGCTTTCATTAAAATAGTTTTACCACTATTTAGCCTATCTATGACCGCAATCCCGGACCATCTCCTTCCTTTATAATGCAACGGTCAACTATTAAATATTCTAAATTATATTTTAATTTTACATAAATTAAAGCCTATGTTCCACCAATATTTTACTTGTATATTATATTTTGGCCAGCGTTCGGTCCATTTTGGAGTCTGGATATTTTGTTATTATTACAATTTAATTTATTTTACAATTAAAACATTAATTTTCTTTTACATAACTTGTTACCCCACCAAGTGTGACAGCGTTTGTAATCGGCAAAGACATGTTAAAAAAAAAGAAGTTTAAAATCCCTTTTATTGTATTATATAACATTATAAATCGTTTATTACTAATAAGGCATAAATATTTGTGTAATAATTAACTTTCATTCTTCCTCGACTTTCCTTCTTCTAAAAGTAAAAAAAAAAAATACTTGTGCCACATTCTTACCCAGAAAATATGTCACATACTTCACAAAACAAAAACAGTTACCACGAAAATATAAAATTATTTACCTACAAACTGTATATTTTTTTTTTTTTGCACTTTTCGAAGATGCTTCGTCTCCTCTTCAGCATCTGATATGCCCGAGTATTGTGTGAGTCTTACTAAGAATAGGTTTGGTCAATAAATGATGTGGAGAAGAAATAATGAAGTAAGGTCAAGAGTATCTACAAATGAATAAATGATAAAGTTTGTGTGATTTTATAATATTGTAAATATGTTATGAATGTGCCTTACAGCTTTAATACTCAATATCCTTAAGTGTGGTAAAATGTATTATACCTCAATAAAAAGATTAATACCAAACAATTAAGAATTGGAAATTTTTCAATAAAATACTAAAAATAGTAACAAAAAGCTGAAGGTTTAAGCTTAAATACAGTTAAACAGAAAAAGCTGCTATAGTGACAGCGATTGTCAAGTAAGTATTATTCCATTAATTTTTATGAGATTGCTAATTTAGTTTATTAACTTTTCTGAGTAGACATCCAAATATCCATTCGATTTAGAGTATTCAACAAAAAAATAATGAAATTGTATGTCGCATATGTTACAATTAATTTAAATATAGCTACTGTTAGCTCAAAAGGTCTTATGTAAAAATTGAGTTTTTTAAAAAAAAATAGCATAAAATTGATTATATTTCTTTATGGTTTATTAGTATAATTTTACATTATATTTTCCTATAATATTTTCAACATTAGTACTCTATTTATTGCATTTGCAGGTTATAAACTATGATCTTTAACACAAATAGAATTAACATCGAAAATTGTTACATACAACTTTTTGCACTAACAGATTTTTATTCTCAAAATTATTATTGTTAAATTATCAAAATACCTCAATTTTACTGACATGGAATTACAATGTATGAAAAAACTATCACCAATTGTGTGACTTTGAAAATAAAATATTTTTGTAAAAAAAATTCTTGCTTCATTTTTCCAAAAAAGAACCGTACTCAGTACACAAAGAGAAGTGTATTCACGTTTATTTATTGTTTTATATTCTCCTAATCTATGAAAAGAGAAAACAAAAATATCTTAGCATCATGAAATTTGTTTTAACAGCTAACGTGATGCAATATGGCTACGTTAACAAAATATTATCTTAATGCTCCGATGATGAAATGGCTTAAATATTATTATATGCCCAGGGATAAATTTGTTTTCGGTATAATCGTAAAAGTAATTTTTACGACGGTTATAAATTTGATAAAGTAACCATTTATTAAATCTAAAATCCGTTTAAAAAATATATATAATTATTTGAATAAATAATGATATCATTTATATTCAAATGCTTTATTTATATATTCAGACACTTTAAATAAATACACACAATATTACTCAATTCTTCTTCGGTGCATACTATTAATTTTCAAGTTAATTTATTATTAGCCATATTTACACCAATTTAAAAAAATTTTTTGTCACTTAATGACTACTCATCAAAATGACGACGTTTCGGCTCGTCGAGCCATTTTCAAGTCTAAAAAAATTTTTTCATTTACAATCATATATTAACTTTAACATATTTCAAATTATAAAGATACTTATTATGCACCTAAAATACCCATCATGTAAAAAAAAAAAAAAAAAAAAAAATATTTTAGCGTCTCATATATTAGAAACTTAACTGATAAAATTGAAAGAACATTTAAACAATACGATGTAAATGAAATTAAATTTGCAAGCAAACCAATTAATAAATTAGATACAGTTTATTCGAAAACTAAAGATAAAGTACCTATCGATAAATTAACGAATATTATTTATAAAATAAATTGTAAGAATTGCGACAATAAAGCATATTTTGGACAGACATCCCAATGGTTTGAAAAAAGGCTTAAACAGCATAAACAAAATTGTAATTCAAAAAACACAAAAATTAAATTAGCTACTGGACTATCACAACATAATATGCAAACTAAACATGAGTTTGATTTCAAAAATGCCAAAATCCTACATAATGAAAGAAATACGAATAAACGTAGAATTAAAGAATCAATATACATAACTAAAAACTTAAAAAACTCAGTAAATAATCATACAGACGTGGATAATATGAATACTTTTTATGCTAGTTCTATTGAAAAAATCAAAATTTGAAATAAATCAGCTAATATTACTTAAAATAGATCCACATGTAATATTGAGTAACAGCATTATATATGTTCATAATAAATAGTCTTCCCCTACTCCTATAAGAATAACCAGTCACTGAATAGAAATGAGATGGATGACATGTGGGTGACTCAGAAACAAGGTAAATTTAACTTATTTTGAATCATTTAATAGTAAAGAATTGAGTAATAATAATGTTGTTAAATAATTAAAGGTGAACATGACAATAATAAGGAATTCTATTATGAGTAGACGCTTGCAATTCGCATAAGTGAAAATGACAGGTACATGATGGGTATTTTAGGTACATAATAAGTATCTTTATAATTTGAAATATGTTAAAGTTAATATATGATTGTAAATGAAAAATTTTTTTTAGACTTGAAAATGGCTCGACGACTGTGTAAATATGGCTAATAATAAATTAACTTGATAAATAAATATATTGTAGATTTGTCTAAATTGAAATAAAGATTCATATAAATAAGATTACATATTTATGTTCCCTTAATTTGTTTTTTCACTCAATAGTGAAATAGTTTCCACAAATATGAAATTATCATAATGCATGAATTAAGCATGTTTTTATTATAATATAATGTACTAATCTAATGTATGTACTAATGTATAATATTTTAATATGATGCATAATTATAGTTATAAAAATATTCCAACAAAATTTTGTTTTCAATAGAGGGGACAATAATTATTGGGGCATGAAATCCTACCGGCTTTGTGATAAAGGGTTGGTTTTCTGAACAACTCTAACCTAATAATAATCAACAAAATTTCAGGTAGAACGATTTTTTCAAGATGTCTTAAAATTTGTAAATAAATAAAATATTACTATGTAGAAAACTTAGATTTGTATTAGCAGTCAAGTATTTTAAGTTAAGGCTTGGTTAGCTGCTAATTTTCAACGAAGAATTATTATCAATTATGCTATATTTTGTTAATTATTTTTATTGCAATTTAATTAATTATTAATATTGCTAGGAAACATTTAACATTAATATTTAATTTTGAATGGTCTTTTTATAAATAGTTATGAAATAATTATTGGAAGAAGGTGAGGATAAGAGAAGGATGTAAGTATAAATTTTATTCATTAAGTTTTTTTGGGAATTTTATAGATTGTTGTTGTATGTGCTGTTAAATTTTTTTCATACATATTAAATATATTTTAATATTTTAGATAAAAATTTCAACTTCAAAATGGGCAAATTTGGCCTGAAACGTTGTTTTAATAAATAAAATGAATTGAAGCAATGAGAGGAGGTGAAAGTGTATAAGTAGATATTTCCTTGAAATTATCAACTTTATAAAATTATGTTTAATAGACTGATAATTAATAAAAATTGCTAATTTTTCTTAACTTTGAAATATTTCTTAGATAGATACCTCTTTAATCTTAAGTAATATTATGCATTTTTCTTTTTAGTATAATCAGAATAAAAAATTGCAATCATGCAATAGATACGTATATCAAAATTCCTATTTATCGATTTTTATCAAAAAACCTTCATGTTCGACATATAATGATTCGGCTATGTTTTGTTTTTGGATGTGAGTTGTTTTGAGAAGAAATGTAAACATTTTATTTTCGCCAATAGCTGTAGCGAAATAAACAGCGATCCTCAATCCTTCGAAAAATAAATACCCAAGACCTTCATCTAGGCCCCAGTGAATTCTATAGCGATCCGATGGAGATTTAATTTTATAATGGCTCGTTCGGATTGCCGAGGTTGTCGTCCGCGACTGGTGCCAATGTTGTCATTCGGATTTCCACGTGTTCCGGTCATCGCCACGTGTCTGTCCGCCCGCCCCCTCCCCTCCTCTTTCACAGCGGGTACGATTTGGGTACCATGCGGGCCAAAATAAGCTGACGGTGTCCGCTTTGGCGGCCTAAATCCCCGGCGCCCCACCTGCAACCTAAGCTAAAAAAAATGAAGTCAGCACTTTCGAGCAGCCATAAATGTTGCACTTTTTTTAAAAATTTATTTTTAGATGAAGAAAGCAATTTTTTTTTTTTCATTATGCCTTGAGGCCTCAGGTTGCTTGAATAAAAAAATAGGCAAGAATTTTGTAAATATTTTTTCGTGTCACATTTAGGCAATATTCCTGATAATTTAAAAAACGGATCCTTTTCTTTTTTAAACCATCAAATCATTATTGTCCCTATAATTATTTTTTTTTTTTAAACAGATCTTCAAGAACCAGCTAAATATTTTTATAATTCCTTTATTTTTCTTCCAGAGTAATGACCATTCGAAATTTGAATATTAGCCACTGTACCAATCTTATTGAATACTTCAAATTTTTTCGGTAGAGTAAAATATTCCTGAAGAGGGGTACAGAGATTCTCAGAAACTTCCAATAAATTAAATAAAAAACTAACTACATTATTATTGGACTGACCATAAGGTAAATAAATAAGTTTGATATGATATTGAGAATAAAGGTCAAAATTGAAAACAATTTCATTGTAGTTGGTTTTAAATATATATATATATATATATATATATATATATATATATATATATATATATATATATATATATATATATATATATAGGTATATATATATATACCTATATTAAATATACAGCTAGTGTTAGTGCAAAATGTTTTATGTAAGACGTTAAATGTTTTACCGAAGAGAGTAAAAACTGATTATTTCTTTCAGATTTATCAGTATAATTTCATATTTTATTTTTCCTCAGGTATTTTCCATATTAGTAGGCTACTTATAGCAGTTACAGAATGAAGAATAATTTTATTCTTTTCTGTAAAACAATCAATTTTTACTTACGACCTTTTGCACTAACAGTAACGATATAGAGTATTTAATATTTTTCAAATAATGTGATTATCAATGGGAGACGTAGAAACGAGATAGGAAAAATAAAAACAACAGAAAAAAGCATTTGAGGAAACAAGAGATTTGCACGTTGCAGGATATGCCAAAGCGCTGGTACAGCGGTTTCTGGCATTGAGAGATATTCTCACAAAACGGTATTTATTCACCAGATTATTTTCTTTTTGTAAATAACTTAATCACCACCGGTCAGTAACCGATTATTAGCAGAGTTGCGGAGTGAAAATTATTAAAAATAATAATTTCATCCTTATGAATATAATCATCTTATAATGAGATGACAATTTAAATATTTTCCACAATTTGATTGAATAAATGATAATTGTTCGTTTTACTTTTATATGTTTCACGTGTATAAAGGATTATTATATAACTCCAAAAATAATAAATATTATCATTAGTTATTAAATATTGTTTTTATGAGCACCACCTACCTCTCCTAAAAAAACTATTCTGTCTTATGAATAGTTAATTTTAGGTTTTTATATAATACACAACGATTACATCGCCATCATCAATGGTTAATAAATAATTCTGATTAATAGAATAAGACATTATAGAAATAAATAAATTATATAGATTTTGAAGAGGAAATTGTGTCCTCAATTTTTTATTTTACCTTTATCTGTAATTGAGTCGCTCATTCATATTAATATAAATTAAATTAGCACGAGTTTAGGGAAATTTAATATATAATGTATACTTTGGCTGAGAAATCAATTATCATTATCCCTTAGAAATAGATAGATAGATAGATAGATAGAAAAATAATTTTATTCTGGGACACAGTCCCTTGAGAATAACAAAATAGAACAAAAATTAAAAGATCACATCTGGCCAAAATAAAATCAATCGAAAAAAAGGAATAATGTAAAAAAAATATAAGGTAAACATTCTATATAAAAAAAATGAAACTATATACAAAACAATTAATACTATGACAAGGCACTTAAAGCTATTTGCACTAGTATACACTTTTAAGAAAAATAAAATAAAAAATAAAAATGTATCAATGAATTTGTATGTATCAAATTCTCTATTAAAATCAGCTCGAATGGTTAGCAACTATCTGACTGTTCTTGGGATAGGAATTGGAATAGGAGGGTTTTGAATTTGGATATGGATGGGGAATGTCGAATTTTGATAGGGAGGGAATTTCAGAAATTGACAGAGCGAACAACAAAGGAATTTTGGAATGAGGCAGATCTGTGAGAAGGCATGTAAAGATTAGAAGGTCGAGATCTTGTGGACAGGGAATGGACTGAGGATTTGAACTGGAGAAGATTGTAGGCGTAAGAAGGACGATGGCTGTTAATGATTTGGTAGAGGAACGTACCTAGGAAATATTGTCTTCGGAAGGAGGGGAAAAGCCACTTTAACTCAGCATAGTGGTGAGAAACATGGGAGTATCTTGGGGCCCCGATCACAAATCTTACACAGCTGTTCATTAGTCTTTTCAGTCTATCACGGAGCTCCACAGAGAGGCCATCATACACCACACAGCTATAGTCAAAGTGGGGGAAAATGAGAGAGGAAACTAGGAGTCTACGGCGGAAGCGATGGAATAGTTTGAGGGTGGAAATTGTCCGTCGAGAGAAATGAGAAATATGGTGATTCCAAAAGAGGTTTTGATCAATGAAAAATCCTAAGTTTTTAACAGAGGAGTAGAAGGAGATTGGCTGGTCATTAAGGTGAAGGATGGGAAAGTCTGGATGGGATCTGAGAAGGGGCTTGGAAGCAATGACAATGGCCTGAGTTTTGGCGGCATTTAACCTTAATACATTTACATTGGCCCAGGCACTGATTCGATCTAGGTCTTCTTGGATCTTGGCAAATGCCCCCAGTAACTCAGGAGGGGAAAATGATAGGTAGATCTGTGAATCGTCTGCATAAAGGTGCTGGGAACAATGGAGAATTGATTTAGGTAGGTCGTTAATGTAGGAGCTGAAAAGGAGAGGAGATATGCTTGAACCCTGGGCAACTCCAGAGGATAAAGAAAGGAAGGCAGATAGTGGTTGGTTGGGTATGGAGACTGCTTGGGTACGTTGTGAGAGGAAAGATTGAAACCAAGAGATGGAAGTATTGGAGAATTATGATAATTTCAGTTTGTTGAAAAGGATGGAATGGTTAATGGAATCGAATGCTTTGGAGAAGTCGAGAAGGATAAGGATGGTTAACTTTTTATCATCTATTGCAGTTTGAATGTCGTTGGTGATTTTAATTAAGGCGGATTGTGTGGAGTAGCTGGGACGGAAACCAGATTGGAGAGGATCAAGTTGGTTGGACTTTTCAAGGAAGTTGGAGACTTGGGATTGCACCAATCTTTCTAGGGGTTTCGAGAGGTTGGAAAGAATTGAGATTGGGCGAAAATCTTCGGGTGAGGTCGGATTAGAATTTTTATTTAAAGGAAGGACAATGGCTTGTTTCCAAGATGTAGGGAATACTGAATTCTGAAGGGAGAAATTGTAGATGAAAAGAAGGACTGGGAGGATTTCAGGAAGACATAATTTTATTAGTTTGACAGGGATGCCGTCAGGTCCTATGGAATTGGTGTGGGATTTCATTACAGCGGTTAAAAGGTCTGTAGGGGAAATGTCGGAAAAATAAAAGTTATTGTCGTTAAATGGTATCTCTATTGGGAAGTCGGAATAGGAGGATAAAGGAGAGGTATTAGCAACAGATATAAAATGCGAGTTTAGATCATCAGGGGATATTGGAAAGGCTGGAGTAGGGGATCGGGAAGGATCACAAAGGGAGAGTTTACGAAGCAGTCGCCATTTTGATTTTATGTCAGGAGTTGAGGAAAGGGCTTCGTGGAAGTAGAGGGACTTCGCACGCCGGATCCTTGTTTGTGTCAAGTTGCGAAGCACCCTGAACGCTTGGTAGTCATCTGCAAGCCTAGTACGTCTGAAGCGTCTACGAGCAGCTTCGCATCTCCTCTGCAGGTCTTTAATTTCCTGACACATCCAAGGAGCAGGCCGGTGACGAAATGTAGAGGTTTTGAGAGGGGCATGGGTATTGAGGATATTGAGGAGATTGGTAGTGAGAAATAGATGAAATATTAAAATTTATAATGTATGAAAATGAAATTTTTATGATTGAACACGATTATAATTACTGTGGCATATTTAAATTGACAAGATCGATCACCTAATAATATACTTCCAAAATATTGAAATCTGAAAGTTAAAAAATTTTTTTAAAAAAGTATTTAGAGTGGACCAAAGTAAGAGTGGACGAATATGATTTCATTGCACCTTTTAAAATTTAGGCGACCTTAGAAATGTAATTCATCAGACAAATTAACAAGAGAAAAAAAATCAAAATGCAGGTTTTATGATATTTATTCGAATAAATAATAATCCAATTGTTTATTTTATCTCCAAATTTGTTAAAGACCGTCCAATTCACACACACTCACATACATTAAAATCAATGGGATTTCTTAGATCAACAAAACTATTTATTGCAATTACAATTTTTTTTCTTTAATCAGGTAATAAATCTATTTATCCTCAAAAGATGTTTACCTTGACCTAAAAAACCTGTATGTAAAAATATTAGTACTAACTGACTAATTGAATCAAATCCCTATTTTCTATTCGTTGTTCTTAAGTACACTAATAACGAAACCGCTAATTGTAAGACGAAGTTAATTTAAAGTATTAGTTAAGCTTAAAAAAAAATGTTTTCCAAGTTTAATATTTAAAGTATTAATGCCACATTGATTGGCGAGGTCTTTATATCTTTATTTTTTCTTGATAACAGTTTCGTCTCCGTCAATAACACATCAGAGAAAAACTGAAGACAATTTCTGTGTTTTTTCCTGATTTTTTTTTATTATTTATACTTTGTTTGCATTCCACAGCTCCACTATCGGAGCATGGAATAAAGGACTAATAAATTATTATATTTACGTTTCCTCCAACGAACTATACAGTACGATTTTCAAAACAACTCCTCGAATTGAAGGTCGAGTACTTTGTAAACAAGAGGGTGAAGAAGGTAAAAGGGAGAACGACAGCTGACTGGAAGGTTTCGCACTGGGACACGTGTAGCCACGTGTAACGATGACGTCACCGCTCAAGGCCAAGTAATGGGCCCACGTGTTCCACCCCCAACAGTGCGATATTGGTTACCGAAGGCTTTGAGCACGCAACTCCTTCAGAGGAGCATCTCCAGGTGGTATCCTTAGACCACCTCTAAATATGTTGTGATCTTTTAATATTTATAAGAATAAAAAATCATAAAATGACGGGATAAATATTATGATTAAATTATAAAATTAAAAATGAAAGTTTTAAAAAAAAAAATACTAAATATGAAAACAAATAATACAAGTCTATCTACAAATTCTTCTGTATATCAAAATTATAATTAAAATTATGAAATTGGCAATAATCCACATTACAGCTAAATTTTTATCTGATGCTATATTAACTTTAAAAAAAAATGAAATGTTCAATGTAAGATCCACCTTCAAGTATAATATAAGATTTAGCAATACTAAGAGCAGTAGTTCCAGCAATTTATTTTTTTAAGATAGGGCTTGTTTTTTCTATTTATTTTTTGTTTACTATGGCGGTAATTACTCTGGAAGAAAAGGAAATAAACTATATAAAATAATGAATATTTAATAGTTGACCGTTGCATTATAAAGGAAGAAGATGGTCCGGGGTGGCGGTCATAAATAGGCTAAATAGTGGTAAAACTATTTTTATTAAAAGCCAACGTTTCGACCCGACTTTGCAGGTCTTTTTCAGAGCTAGAACGGACAAGATACAAAAATATAGAGAATTGTGGAAGTTACACAATATTTAGACAAAAAATTATAAACAATGTGAATAAGCTTATTAAAATTATAAACAGTTAGTACATTAAAATATGAACAGAGCAAGCTAAGTAACAAGATCCTAAACTGAAGTAAATAGATGCTAACAACTGTTGTAGTGTTCCATAATAAATGTAATACATAATAAATGCAAGTGTATACTTCTACAGATCTACAGGAGAGATTGAAGAAAAGGAAAAAGGATATAATATGAAATAATAGACATAAAGGAATGTGGAGAAACAAAAGAAAAAAGAAAACCACCCCAAACCATCTGCTTCGTA